GGAGCACTGATATGAACAAGAGAATGAGGTATTTCTCTTATGCATAATTCAGTAATATTTTGTGTTTTTAAGAGTAAGATCTTCTTGAAAAATTTCAGTGGGAGATCATGGGGAATTGAGAGTTACGTACTCATCATTGAGAGGTGCCAATTCTAAACCTGCAAAATCTAGGAACTATGCACAGAGTTCTGTGAATTTTTCCACTAAGCAAATAATATTTTTTTTAGTAATAATTGATTGTAACTCATCAAATTGAGTCTACTTTAGAATAAAAATAATTTTAATCAGAAAACCCTTGAAGTTTGAAAGATATGGTCCTTTTATTGAAGGTTGTGCAAGTGTTGTTTTTTATAGCGAAAACTATTTCAGTGACATGAATGTCATAATTTTATTTCCATTCTTAACATTATTTTTTGAGGCCCGCATTGAGTTCTTAAGCTGCCATTTGAATCTAGTTTCCAACAAAAATTATTTGAGAGAGAAATATCCATGGGAAATAACAAAAAAATTTTGTTGGGGAGGGGTCATCCTGAATTTCGGTAGTTTTGTGTTTCATTGAGATGTGAGTATCTATATTGAGATGTAAATATCTATCTAAAATAGGCTCTAAAAATGGAGTTTAGGTTTCAAATGAACCTAAAACCCACGATTTTGCCCCTTTAGTATTGAAAAAAAGACCAAAATATGGCCTCAACAAGGGGCATTTCTGCCCCTGGGCAGGGCGCAAGCCCTGGGCGACACTGGGCACCCGCCTAGGCGGGTTCCCTAGCGCCTAGGGACAGCCTTCCTAATGTGGCCGCCTAGACCTGGGCGAGACGCCCAAGCCTACTGGACCGCCTAGACGCCCACTAAGGCCCCGGGCAGTTTGCTTTTTAAAAAACAACCTACAATAATTATTATGGGCCTCAACCATTATGGAAACCTCCATGTGGTAATAATGTGTATAATATCCTACCATATTTGGGTGATTTTCTTGCTATAATAGTCATACATGATAGTTGTAACCCACATACATTATGACCTACCTGTATTGCAACTCCCTTAGGGATCCGTGTACATGTAGGGCACATTGCCCCACAATTTGTAAAATAGTGAAAAATGCATCTATATTTATCTTATGCCTGAATATTACATTCTCTCTCTACTCTCTCAATCTTATCGTTCAATAGCCAAACATTTCATCATAGCGCTACATGGCAACTAATTGATGCCTAACCAATGAAATGTTACGTCTTCATCATCCACTCTGCTCTTTCTGACCTCCACAGATTCTGGTTGGCATGATGTCTAAACACTTGAGGTCCACTACTTTTCATGACATAATTTTGGGTAATCCACAAGCTTTGGCATAGTAAGATGGAAGAAACAGTCAAGTCTAGTGCTGATGCAGAATATAGACCTTATGAGTTACTTGCAATGGGAGTATGGCTTCCTACAAAGTTCAACTCCTGTAATTTCATGTTGACAACTTCAGTGTTATCCAGATAAGTAATCAAGTGTTTCACTAGGACAGAGCACATTAAAGTGCACTATAATTTGTAATGTGATGAATATTGATGAGTGATTAGTTTTCATTGAATTTCCACTCAAGAACATATTGCAGATTTGATTACAAGGTACATGTTTAAATAAAGAGTACTTGGTAATTATTATTTTTCATTAATGTATCCTGTGTGTATTAAGTGGTATACATTATTGTAATTTACAACTTTATAAATGAGACTTACTAGTCGTCAATAAACTGTAAATTCATAGCAAAGTTTTACTTCCTTTTTGGAAAAAAAATTCACGAAGCCAGAATTTTGTCATCCAAAAGGTTCTCCAAATCCAAAAGCGGCAGTGGAAATGACCATCCCATTATGGATTCTGGAAAAATTGCTTAAGCATGGGCCTAGCAAACTTAACTAGAACATGTTTGTGTTCGTCTCCCATAACGATGAGTTCATCAAACAAAGGTTTAGCAGCTTTAGCTTATTGAAGATTGTAGGATGTAGTTACCCTTGCTTGCTTTAGAAAGCTCACTTCATTCTCTAAGTTCTACAGTTGAGCACCATAATTCTCCAGTTCATTTTGAGTCATGATACCTAACTATTGTGTACGTATCATCTTGGACATCAATCAATAACTGTTTTACATTAATTCCAGGCAAGATGCTTTGCACTACTGCATTTTAAGATCCACTTCCATCATCCGCATTGGGAGGCATATCTATTGGTTTATAATACCATTATAACAAAATGGCCCAAAAATAGGCCATTATTACTCGAAAGGAAGGAATTTGAATTTTTTTATTTTTTGCCAAGTTTATCCCCTGATCGATTTTTCAAACCTCGAACTGCTTTATAACCCCGATAATTTTTATTTTTTGCCAAGTTTGGCCCCGTTCCTATTTTCAAAACTCGAACCGCTTGGTAACCCCAACATTTCTCATTTTTTCCCAAGTTTGCTCCAACATTATTTACTAAAAAATTCAACTGAAAGAGAACAGAATGTTTCGAACATTGAACTGCATTATATTCTATTTTTCAAGTAGACCAAGCATTCAAATGGTTCGAACATCAGACCGCATTCTGTTTAATTTTTTTTTACTAAAACAATGCAGTTCAATGTTCGAACCATCGGACCACTTAGTTGTCTCAAATATTCCAATGCAAGTTCAAATCATAAATTGACCTTTAACCCTGCAGGTTATGGGAGAAGTATTAGAAAGAAAAAAACATGTCCTAACAACTATTTTGAGAGGTATCAGGCAAAACAATAAGACAAATGTTCTTGAAAGATTGAATATTTGAGACAACCAAAAGATGTGGAAAGATCTTGAAATGATCATTAATTACAAAGGTAGATATTTGAGACAACCAAGCGGTCCAATAGTTCGAACATCGGACCACATTGTTTAGTAAAAAATATTAAACTGAATGTGTCCAATGTTCAAACCATCGGACCGCTTGGTCTACTTAACATCGGACCTCCTTTTATTGGATTTTTTTAGTAAATAATGCAGGGGCAAACTTGACAAAAATGAGAAATGTCGGGGTTACCAAGCGTTCGAGTATTGAAAAAATAGACTGGAGGCAAACTTAGCAAAAAATCAAAATTGTCGGGGTTACAAAGTGGTCCGAGGTTTGAAAAATCAAACCGCAGGCAAACTTGGCAAAAAATAAAAAAAATTGAGATTCCGTCCTTCCGAGTAACAACGGCCTATTTTTGGGCCATTTCGTTACAACGGTATTACAAAGTAGTCCGTACGTAAATTTCCCTTTCAAGATTCACTAAATAAAACTCTCCTCAGTTATGTTGTTCACACCATCAATAGTTCTGATACCATTTAAGAAATGTGATACAATGATGTAGAGTTCAAATGTCAAGCATATACTCAAAGAAAGATACACCCTAGGGAACTTCTAAGATATGCTCCAAATCTCATAAAAAACAGCAGGAATTTGATGGTTGTAAATTCAAAAGTATCGAAATAGCAGCAGCTAAATGGTTGTCTTCTAACAAAGGTAATGAATGGACAACAGACTTTTACATCACAAAAGGAGAAGGCTGAGTTGTTCATCTAAAAGAAGCTCAAAAAACTAATGGAAATAACTCGATTTAAAAGAACACACAACTAATTTAAACAAATTAACATCATCATCAACAATTGAGCCTTATCCCAACTATTTGATGTCGACTACACGAATCATATTCTACCATTCCACTCTATCAAGGGAGATACCTTCAGTCAGACCATACGTCACCACATCTTTTCTTACAGCTTCCATCCATGTCCTTTTGGGCCTTCCCCTTCCCCTTTTAGAGCATTCCACTTGAACTAAATCACCCCTTCTAACCAATGTTGCTCTACTGCACATAACCAGACCACCTAAGTCTACTTTTTCTCATTTTATCATCTATTAGAGCTACCCCTAAGTTCCATCGTACATATTCATTCTAAATTCTATCCTTCCTTGTCTTACCACTCATCCATATGAATATCGTCATCTCAGCTACACTCATTCTATGAATACGTTGTTTCTTGACCACCCTACATTCTATCCCATAAAGCATGGCTGGTCTTACAACCGTCCTATAGAATTTTCCCTTCAGTTGCATTAGTATACGATAATCATATACGACTCCAGAAGCACATCTCCACTTCGTCCAACCAGGTCTATTTTGATGAGCAATATCTTCCTCAATCTCTCCTTTTCCATAGATTATCAACCAAAGATATCAAAAATATTCTCTTTTAGGTACTTCTCGGTCATCACTCTTAACTAATTACTCGCTTCTACTCATATTATTGTTAAACTTGCATTCCATACATTACGTCTTAGCCAGTTAAGAAAATGGCAACTGAACCAAGCACATGCAATGCCATGCCTCTCCCCTAGCAACTATTCTAGGACATTCGCAGAGCACTACAAGTTTGGTCAAACCAATACATGGCCATAGGACAAGAAACCCATAAACTAGCATAAGAGTGGCACTTTGACCACCAACACCTCCTCTCTCCTGCTGCTTCCATGCTGAATTCATTCTCCATGCTCTCAAGAATTCCAATCCACCAGCATCCCTAATAAATATTACTCATTATACATGGTTATCCAAACTACCATCACTCAAACTCATAATTTATCCCATTCAACTTCATACAGCCCATGCTTCACAAATCATCAATGCGTCCAGCAGATTTCTTTAAGAATTCCCGTGAATGATGGCATTTTCATAAGGCATACTAAGCCCAGTAGTTATGTTGAAGCCACCATGTGGCACCGAGTTATGCATGTAGAAGTAAGAATAATATGTTACAACTCCAATATCAAGTTTATTATTTAAATCCAAAACAAATTATAAGAGACATATTATAGAATAATTATCTCTCATATGTCCAATAATCTCATGCCAAAAAATGTCCAATTGAATGCCAAAGAATACACACATATACATTCCAAATATACTTGTAATCTTGAATATAAACCAAATTTAATGCATATGAATAAGGAAGTCACCTTTTGACGAGTCCATCCAACTTGTTGATTCCCTAAGTGAATCCTCAATAACTGAAGAAACATAAGCAGTTTAGTATAGATTGCCTTGTACAATCCAATACAGAGAAGAAACTAAGAAGTAGAATCAATTTGTTTATCAAGTAAAAATAGGACAATGTAAAATATAAAATTATTCCATATCATTGTGCACTTCTACCATGAAGCACTAGCATTAAACCAACATGTGATGTAGATTATCGTATGCAGCGGGAAACAAGGAGACAGTAAGCAAAACAAATGCATAACATGAAGATGAACAGCTTTTAATATCATATCTAAGTTGTACAATTTTTTCTTTTTTTCTTTTTTCCTTTAACGTCATCAGAAATATTTCAATTTCCAAGAAGTTGATGGCACTTAAATTTTAACCCATATACATGCTGAAATTTTAGTAATAATATATGGAATGCAAATCCCAACTAATTGGGGTCGGGTACACGAATCCTGGTCTGTCATTCTGCTATATTAAGGGTCATAATCTCAGTAAGGCTATACATTCTCATATCTTTTCTCACTACTACTAATTATGTCTTTTTGGGGCTACCCCTTGCCGTTTTTTAGCCTTCCACTAGAATTAACTCGCACCTCTTAACAGGTGTTGTATTAGGTCTGTGCTACACATGGCCAGCCCATCGAAGTCTACTTTCTCTCATCTTATCGCCTATTGTGCCACACCTAAATTCTCCCAAATGTATTCATTTCAAATTTTATTCCTTCTTGTCTTGCCGCTCATCCATCTCGACATCCTCATCTCAACTACACTCATCCTATATGTATGTTGTTTATTGACTGTCCAACATTCCACCCCATAAAATAAAGCAAGTCACACAGTTGTCCTATAGAACTTGCTCTTCAGCTCCATTGGTATGCAGCGATCACAAAAAACTCTAATTGCGCATTTCCACTTTGCTCAACCAGCTCTAAATCTATGTGCGACAGCTTCCTCAATCTCTCCATTTTTTGGTTTATCGACCTAAGATACTGAAAGTATGCTCTTTTAAGTATTTATTTGCCATCAATCTTAACTAATTCCTCATTTCTACTCCAATTAGTACTAAAATATTTGATGATGATACTTGCTGAAATTTGGAACTTTTGCATGTGATCATATTGATTAATCCAATATTATCAGAGTAGTCTCCTAGAGGTAGGGCAATAGAATTCTACACTCCCTAGGCTTACATATCATCATTACTATAAACAAACTTGGATTGTTTATGCCCAAATATTGATAAATGAACTCTAAGGTCATCTAGCCAAAATTGTGCCATGCATTAAGGATACGGTGTTTGTAGTTTAAAACCCAATATGGCAACCACCATATAAAGACAAGTGCCAAAGTGACTTAATTCTTGAAGGAATAAATATGTTAATATTATACTACACCATGGATAAAATAACCTAGTTAATTATCCTAAGCCAAGAAAACATTCAAAGTAATTAAAGATGAACACAAAAGGAAGAAAAGGCCTACCTAGTTGGGTTCTAAAAATTTTTAAATTTACAGATAAATCCTATTATAACTGTTTAAGATCGCATATTTTATATATTATGCAAAGGTCCCACTTTTTCATCATTGCTTTATTCCCAAACTATCCATGGTTCGAGAACTAGTTCTTTAACTGTGGCATTTTTTTTTTTTTCTTAAGTAAGAGAGGGATCGAATTAGGGGACGGGTTCGAATAAGGTGATAAGATAATGAAAAGTAGACTTAGGTGGGCTGGCCATATCTAGCATAGACCTAATCCAGTACCGGTTAGGAGGTGCAATTCAGTTCAAGTGGAGGGCTTTGAAAAGGCAAGGGGAAGGCCCAAAAAGACGTGGATAGAAGTAGTGAGAAAAGATATGGCGACTTTTGGTCTTTCCAAGGGTATGACCCTTAATAGAGAAAAATTGAGGATAGGATTCATGTACCTGATCCCAAATAATTGAGATAAGGCTTGGATGATGATGAGGAGGAGATGGGATTGAATGAATGGTATCCAAATTGCTTTACTTATGTTTTTATTTTAAGTGGGTCAGATCCAACATTTAATATCCAAACCCATTCCACTTAAAAAATCGCAAGTGATGGGTCAGACACCCAATGTCGGAGCCCCCACAATGTTTTAGGCGGTAAATGGGCTTGGACATTTGGTATCCAAACCCGTCTCCCACTTAAAAGATATAAGTACGCAGATTTCTATACACAATGCCCAAAACCTGCTCACAATAAGACTTTCAAGTGGGAGATACCTCTGCCCTCAGCATCCTAGCCATGTAGGTATCATCACACAAGTGTCTCATGTGTATCACATGGGAGTGTTGGGCCAGCCATTTATATAGACCTTTCTTGAGTTGGAGTGTAAGTTGAATTTAAACTTGTGCCATCAACAAGAAAACTATGAGGTGAAATCCCATTCATTCACCCAAGGATGGAGACCACACTTTTATCCCCAATTTGCTTTATTTGACACTCTTTCAGACTTCTAAGCTAGACAAGATTCATAATCATTCCCAAAAGTGGCACACATCTCTCTCTCTCTCTCTCTCTCTCTCTCTCCAAAAGTGGCACGCCACCCTCTCTCATCTCTCTGCCCTCATCTCAATCTCTCTCCCACACTTAGAAAAATATTAGAGAAGGAAAAGAGGGGCACGCCTCATTTACATTAGATCAAGGGACAAGGCCCTAGCTTGTTCCATTGCTCTCATAGCTCTTGAGGGTTTCTAGCCGAGGCTTCCCATAGTTGTGAGATTTAAGAAAGACCTTGATCTTGTGCACCATCGGAGGAAGAGACCAGGAGTGGGGTGTATCAAGTCCAATTGAGGTAATCTTTAGGCACCTTCTTTTACTTTTCTGCAGTTTATATTTCTTGTTCCCAAAGGCAATGGTTATGTAATTTTTTGTTCATGAAAAAAAGAGTTGTTAAAGTGGCAGCAAGTGATGATCCAAATTTGTGTTCTTGTTTACTTGAGTTTATATTGTAATATTTAGACTTCTGTAAGTGTGCTGGCCGGTTTCGAAAAGAAAAATTTTAAACTACATAAATCGCGTTAGTTCATGTTGTCCACTATCAAATTCCACGTTGGTGAGCACTTGATTCCACTTACTCATGGAACCATGATTTGGATGAGACAGATCTAGATCCCATTAACAAGTGATCTAGACCCCCAATTTTGCGGAACGAGATCCCTAAATTCAAAAAACATATGGAATCAAAACCCCATGGCCCGAAGCACAAGATCAGCCTTACAAAGCTGGAGTGACCACTTGTCGGCGATCCCGGTAGCCATGTCCCGAATTTAAGAGATGACTCAAGGATGATGAAGCAACACAATATGTTGGCCTGCTAAGTGAGTTGGAGGAGGTGTATACTCGGTGGTGAAGGGGATTTAAAGATGGGAAAGTTCTTTATTTTACAATATTAAGACCTCAAAGAGATTTCTCCCCGCTCGGTTCGCCTGGAAGGTTCTAGGCTCTCATAAGATCCAAGTGTTTTGGTAGGTCACATGCCTAGATAAAATCCTTATCTTTTGGGTGGGTTGCATGCTTATAGAATCCTTCTTGTCGACCACTTAAAACATTGAGGTTGGAGCATTATTCCTAACATGTCTATGATGCATAGAGAAGATGAGATAATGAACCATCACGTAATCAATTATATGATTGCTTCCCCCATTTGAGTATACAAGAGGACACTTAGAAAAGGACGGTAATGACAGCCCATGCAGGTGAATGTTCTGGTCAGACATCATTTCCCTTTTTCAGCAAAGGACTTTGGCATAGTTCAACAACTAGGGCGAGCCAAATAGGACTCACCTGAGTCAAATTGACTAGGGAAAAATCGAGTCCTAAAACATTCTAACTCAAATTCTTCACGAGTTGGCCCATTTTATTGTGGGTTATTGTAGAACATGGCTGATTTACTATTGGCTCAACAAGTTCTACGAACTGACAAGTCACAAAGTCTTGACATCAAAAAATGTTTTAATATTTCAAAAAGCTAAATTCTCTTAAAAACTTATTGGTGTGGCCCTTATCCACTTATCCTCACTCTCTAATGTGTGACTAAATATATGTATCTCCTCCACTCCCCCCGCNNCCCCCCCCCCCCCTCCCCCCTCCTCTCTCTCTCTCTACACATACACATATACATATATGTGAGTCTGTATATAGTTAATAATCCCATAACATACAAAGGTTAATATTAGAAAGGGACGTGATGGGTGCAGATACCAAAAGGTCATTGTTTTTGCAAAAGAAGTTACTCTTTAGTGGTTGCTTGATCATTACAAATACATTAGAAATTTTCAAAAAAGTGCAATGGCATTTCATAAGAAGTCTCCTACTACTTTATTAATACAAACCATATTGAATGCATTAATAATGATGATCAAAGGGTCTTAGAGAAAGATGAAGAGGCAACAAAAGGTGGAGAGTTTATTCTCAAGAATTATTAAATGACAAACACAAGGTAGAAGAAACCGTTAGAATAAATGAGGGCGGAGGTCATAAATACATTCATAAAATTCAGTTATCGAAAGTAAAAGAAGCTATAAAAAGGATGAAGATAGGCAAGGCTTTAGGACCAGATGCTATCTCGATAGAAGTTTGGAGTTGCATGGGTGAGATAGGCATTTACTGGCTGACCAAGCTACTCAACAAGGTGTTGAGAACAAAGAAAATGCTAGACAAATGGAGGAAAAGTATTGTGGTACTTATTTACAAAAACAAAGAAGAAATACATAATCGTGTAAACTATCGAGAGACCAAACTTATGAGCCACACTATGAGGCTTTGGGAGAGAGTGATCGAGCAAGGACCAAGATACGAAAGGAGTGTATCAGGAAACCAATTTGTTTTTATGCCAGGGAGGTCCACAACCGAGGCTATTTTCCTACTTAGGTAATTGATTGAGAAGTTTAGGGCAAAGGAAAAAGACGTCAACATGGTCTTTATTGATTAAGAGAAAGCTTATGATAAAGTACCTCGAGATTTGATTTGGTGGGTGTTGAAAAATAAAGGAGTCTTTAAACACTACACAGACTTGGTGAGAGATATGTACGATACAGCACTAACTAGTATAAGAATAACTAGTGGAGAGACGAGTGAGTTTTCAGTGACATTAGGTCTATATCAAGGGTCAGCATTGAGCCCATACCTCTTTGTCTTAGTTATGGACGACGTAACTAGGCACCTACAAGATGAGGTACCATGGTACATATTGGCAAATGACATAGTTTTGATTGATGAGACCCAAAATGGTGTTAAGACAATTCGAAGGATGCTATAGAATCTAAAGGTTTTAAAATTAGTCGGACTAAGACAGAGTATATAGAATGCAAGTTTACTAATAAAAAAAGTAGAGACGAGGAAGTAATTAAGATTGATGGCCAGAAAATACCAAAAAGAGAGAACTTTCAATATCTTGGTTCGATAATCCAAGAAAAGGGAGAGATTAGGGAAGATGTCGCACATAGAAATCGAGAAAGGTAGGTAAAGTAGAGATGTACAATCGAAATTTTATGTGATCACCACATACCAATGATGCTGAAGGGCAAGTTCTATAAGACAGCAATGATACCAGCTTTGCTCTATGGGACGCAATATTCGGCGATCAAAATAATATACTCATAAAATCAGTATAGCAAAGATGACAATATCAAGATAGATGAGTAGCAAGACAAGATGGGATAGAATTCAAAATGAATACATTCAAAAAAAATTTGTGACACCAAGAGGCGATAGATGAAAGAGAGTACACTTAGGTGGGCTGGCCATGTGTAATGCAAACCCAGTACAACACCTAGTAGGATGTGTGAGTTAGTTCAAGTGGAAGGCTCAAAAAGGACAAGGATAGGCCCAAAAGGATATGGTTGGAAGTAGTGACAAAAGATATTAGGACTTATGGCCTCACTGAGGGTATGGCCCTTAATAGAGCAGAATGGCTGACCATGATATATATAGCCGACCCTAATTAGTTGGTAAAAGGCTTTGACAATGATGATGACCCTCATCCTTTAGAGAAAACTTCAATTATGTTCTTATAAAAATAACAAAGTGCCATTTGTCTTGTAGAGATAATTACATGTACCTTTATGTAATTACTAAGCTAGCAATAAATAACAACACCTTTTACTAAAATGTAACCACATATTCGGTAAATCCACCCTTCACAAACTATTCTAACTTTAACCTTTACATATTGAAAGGTTTTTAACTTTAGATTATCTCTATACATCATGCAACGGTTCTATAGTAATATAATGAAACACTTGTCAAAAACTATGTTTGGGCTATTTGTTTGACCTCATGTTTTAAACATACACTCTTTTCATTCTAATTAACAATCAAAACAAAAAAATTGACAACGCACCCTAAAAAGTCGTTATTGAGCTATATCAACATAGGCCACCCATATTGGTGAGATAATTAGATCTAGACCTTAGAAGGATTGTTTCCCTTTCCAAGTTTGTTAGATGGCTTTATTTTAACCAAATGAACAACGTCAAAAATGATTTTCAGTTCGTAAAGGCCTGGATCTTGAAATTCGCCAAATGGATGGTCAAAATTCATTGTCGGAGGGGGGCTCATTTTTAGCATATCTAGAGTGCAAATTAAATTTTATTGTTTTGGGGATTGGTTATTGGGATGAACATAGGGTATGTGCAATTTTTGGGGTCATGCAAATGCCACAAACATGGTTTTTTTAGAAATGTGGTTTCATTATATTATAATGACATGGTGAAATGAAATCAATCCCCGATACACGTATGACGCTCGCACAACCACACACACACACACATATGCATGTGTATATATATATATCGAAAGCGAAAGAGAGAGAGAGAAGGGGGATGGAATTACAGTGCATCCATTGGTGCTCCTCTCACCTCAAAACCACTTTAGATTGGTCCAAGGGAAATAAAAAACTCCAAATGGTCTCCAAATCATTCACCTCTAAATAACATTCAAATTTGAGCTCCATGCAAGCTCCAATTCCCCTAGATCCATTGTGCAACACATGGATGGCTTAGTTTCCATTTGGACAGACTTGAAGCATATTTAGGGATCCAAATCAAAAGTCTTTTGGATGAATCTGTTTTTGCATGGAGGAGACAATTTGCAAAACTCTTTTCGGGTCCCCAGACACCTAAAAAATTGTTATTGAGGTGAAGCTCCAAGTGGTGTGCTCAAGGGGGAGGCCATCAAACAACACTTTCATCTTTCACTAAATTTTGGTTATTTGACCATTTCTTTATACAAGATTTACAATTTTCTTATTTTCAATATATACAAAATAAGTACGACAATTACCATGGACTACCCTTCCTAAGTCCCCGAGTCCACTTACAACAGTCCCAAGTTCTTGACAGCTTGACAGTAAAACTCTGAGTGCCGAAATGGCAGACATTGCCCTTTGGTAACTGACATCATTGAGGATCGTGTTGGGAATGAAGGCAAAGGAATAATCATATCTTCAAAGGCCCATGGATACGAACTGAGGTCCTTGGGAAGAGTAGTCGAAGATTAATCATTTCTTAGGCCTCTTACCGTCATCCAATCTGAGGATCAAGTTAGTGAGAAATTGCTTTCCTGAGACCATATCTGTGGACTTAGATTCATAGCATAGACCGGTTACTGATAGTCATAAACTTCCATCTCAGTGGCCATTCAATGAGATTAGTGAGGATGGATGGCACAGTAAGGCATTCCAACATATCACTTCAACATCTTTTCTAGGTCCTACCGGAGTTCACTACTCCACTACGGCATAAACAAGACCCTCCTTGGTGGTTTTAGCACTGCCACTAGCCATGCATGGTTACCGTCAACATACCATGTTAATATCTGCAACCCTGATTGTACATTATTGGCTTTCAAGTAAGACCTTGTTACTACTCCAAAAAAATGAATAAAGAAAACAACTAAAATAACTGTTATGGCAAAACAAACTAACATACTTAAAGGTTGTCAAGGAAGTGGATAAGCATGATAACTATTCGTACCAATGATTCTATTCATAGACCCTGAGTTCTTGGACTCATGCACACAGTTATGCTGAACATGCTCATTAATGCAGTGTTTCAGACCGAACATATGGTACTCATCAAGTATTGTGCATAAATCCATGTCGAAAAGTCTAAGACTTTCATCCAAAAACTTCGCTACAAATTAAAAATTAGACTGGAGGGACACAATTACCAATGGAGGATTCACATAATTAAAGACACTCTGACTGAGTCAGCAGTCTAATTTTCTATATTTATAATCAGATCTTTAACTTTGACTTTGGGATGGCCACTCAAGAAGTGTTCCTAGTTGATTCAAATCCCTAAGTAATGGGAAGTTACACGTTCTATGGAGCTCTTTTTTTTTAGACACTTTCTTTGTTTCTTTCTTTTTCTTTTTTATTTTTGAGCTAAGTATCGTGGGGCTAGGGTCCCCATTGATTTATATTATAGTAAAAATGTTATTTACAGTGTAAATAAAGGACTTGGCACTGCTTGTAAGGGCATAGGGAAAGAAAGAAACTGCCAATTACATTACCCAAAAAATGCCGGTAACATAGCTAATGGCGAAGTGTAGAGTTGCTCAGCTGCAAGAGAAGCCAGATTTAGCATTGCCATTCCCCTCGAATTCTGAGGCAACTGGTATTGAAACCAATGCATGATATCGTGGAGCTGCCAACTTAGAAATGTAGGCTTCATGGGCAATATCACGAGATCAACTATATATTATCTCTGCACCAGCCAACGTATCCATCTCCTTGTTGTCTTCCTTATATTCATGAGAAGAAGATCATCACCTGAAATGACTTGCCTCCATTCTACATGTGCTGCACTTTCCTTCTGGACCTCCATACAGGCAAGGTATTTGAGCCTATTTCAACCCATAAGTTTGGTTGGCTCCTTTTTGTGCTTTATATCCCCTATAATGATCAAATAGAGTTCTGCTTAACTGTTTGTAACGACCAGGATACCAATGAGTGACGGTATAAGAGACCCCTGGATTACCAAAATTCGTCACCATATCAGGCCCTTAGGCACTTGCACCATCAGCATTGAGCTTCATTTGGTGGGCCATAAGAGGTGACCAGTGACATTCCACAATTTCCCTTTACAATGCTGGGTTCGAGTCTGTGCCCCACTCATTTATGTCCTAACCATTAGGTCAACAGGCCAAGCCCCCATTTCCTAGAGAACTGGTAACTAAGAAGTCACGAGCTAATAGACAAAGACATATTATCAAACTACCATGTTTTGCAGGGATAACCAGTCGATAAATATTAGAAGTCAAGCCAACAAAAAAAGTATTCATTTTCTGCTATTTAAACATGCAAAACCAGCAAATGTGGTGATGAAAATTTCCTTCTTTTACTGATAAAGAAACTTCCAAACATAATTCATAAAGTCCATTTTATCCTTCTCTTCGGAAAGTCCATTTTATCCTTCTCTTCGGACATTTCTCGGCAATGGGTTTTTGAAGTTCATCTTAGCAATTGGTGTAACAAGATTAAGAGAATAGTTTCCCGTAACTATCATCAGAGCAGAAGAGCGGGATATCATCCCAAGCCAACAGAAAAAATTAAGAGAATTATGACCATACAAAAAAACTAAATTCAACCCTTCCAATTCATCACTACTGGAGGACCCGACATATTTCGCATCAAAAAACCACAAAAATAAAACAGAGCATTCAGATAATCATATCTAAACCAGAAGAAAAATAAACAGAACCAACATATCAATTCAAGAAAACAGACAATAATCAACATCAAAAAGAGGAACCCACTTTGAAACTGACACATGTGGGCAATGGGGCACCAAATCGAAGCGATTGAAAGAACGAACTCACCTGGGAGAAGGCAATGGCAGCTATCAATCCATCAATGCAAGCAAGAGAAATGTTGCAAATGGCCAGGGGACGCGGTAGGCAGTGACCCTCCTTGTCAAGAGGCTTCATTGGCCTGGAACTCCAATGTAGACCGCATGCATAAGAGGAAGAAAACTCAGAATAAAGTCAGGAACTCCTCTTGGGGTGTATCAGAGAGATGAATTAGATCTGCATCCGAGGAACCCACATCCTAAAATTCTGTGGAGGTTCGAGGAGAGACAGATTGAAGAAGATGATACTGTAATAAAAACAAAACAAAAAAGATGTTCATTTTAAACATTGTCCTCGTCGAGTATGCTGTCTCTGACATGCTTCCAAATAACAGTTGTTATAAACCAGGCCACATTGCCCACGAAGTACGACTTTCTCGTCCCATACTATGCCCGTGCAGGAGCATGCTATACATTTACTACCTTGGGCAAAAGATCGTAGTGAGGAGATTTTCTTTTTTTTTTAATCTTAAATTGCTGGAGCTACCTAATATTCAGAGATTATTTTCAAAAGAAAGAATTTTAAGTTTGAGTTCTCTGCCACTTAGATTTCATCCTCCAATAATAGGAAGGTCTCTATTGATTTTTTTATTTTTTTTAAGCACATGGAGAGTGCGATATGGAAAATTTGTTTTATTAAACGTAATCAATAGGTTGAAGAAGTTACGTCCCCAAATTTCAAGGTTGTAAAATTAATCGGACCCTAGGTTTTATCACCTAAGGGAGAAAATGGATTACAAAATCGTTTAGCTTATAAAAAAACCCTTGTCTATTTCAAATTGATAGAGAGTTAACCATGCATTCCCGTCTACAAGTAACCTTCCTTTGTTTGAGTTCACGTAGAAATGAGTTCCCTCTTAAAAATCTACTTTTAAGATAGATTTTTTAACTTACTTTTAAGAACATATAATCGTTAACATAACATGGAGATCATGAATATGAAAAATAAATAAATTTAAATTATTTAAATTAATAATTTTATGAAAAAAACATTTGAATCGATTGATTTTAGATAAACCACCCATTTGTATCTATCTTTAAGATGGGTGCTCTATACTATGGGGGACACAAATGTAGAAATACGTCTCCCAATGAATGGAACAATTTTCTTTTACTTTTTCTATTAAATGGAGAAGTATAGTGTCCATTGATGTGGATGATAAAATGATACGGTGCCTAGGCCAAATGAAAAAAAAAAAGAATCGCCATTATTTTGTTTTGTTTTTTTGACAAAACTTGAAAAAATAATTTATAAAAAAATAAATAGATCAAAATATTCCAAAATATTTAAGGATATTTTATTTTACATGTATCATTTTTTGGTATTTTTTTGGGTATGCCTGAGATAGTGCAAATGCCTAAAATTTCATTTTAATACAATATATAAAAATACAAAATAGAGCTGCGGTGATCAATCTCGCCAAAATAAACTCCACTCCCGCAGGTGTAGAATGCCCATTTACTCTCTCAGCTAAAACCCCACTTGGAATTAATTTTATATCCCACCCCAGTACAATATGATTGTACTGACGTGGGATATTTCATTACCTCTTCAACTTGCAGCTTAGTCTCCGTAAAAAAAAAAAATTCTAATTGCACCCTAGTTGGAAAAAAATGTCTCAAATTTGAATGGTGACCATCCAATTTTTAGATGGTGAGATCTGAGAGCTAGAAAAGTCAAATTTCGTTTGTTTTTTTTTAATAACAATCTAGTAATTCTTAAGTGGTTCATAAAACTTTAGATTGAAAAATTTCCTCTCAAATAGGTCTTTTGACTAAGGGAGTACAAGTAAACTATGCTCCCTCGGGAGCGTAGTATACATGCTCACAAAGATGCTGAGCATCTCGTGGATGCTATGCCATTCTGGGAAGCAGTATGTACACTCCAGCAGTTTTTGGAATCTTGAACGCCATAGGGAGGGGTGGGTCCGCATCTTTTACTATAAGGAAATGAATTGTATTTTTCTAACGATGTATATAATTGGAGAATGACCCAATTTTTATGAGTCCCCCGACTCATACTATTCTCATGGCTCCCTCTAGCACCCATTTTTATATAAATGTTGGATCCAAATTTGTAGAGATTCATAATCTACACTATGATGATGAATATAGAAAATAAAATAAAATATTAAAATATTTTTGTTAAAAAAATCTTCTATCCATTGGCTATAACCAGTACCCTTTAGGCCCATTCTCAGTCACATGTTGTAGCCCTTAAAGCTCCCATGTTGAATACTTGTCTTGGTGGAGCATTGCCCTAGTGAAACTACAAGTTTTTAGTACATTTGGAGCGTTCTCCCACTTGATTTTTAGCAGCCCCTTTCACCACAAATCAGGCCCAATTCCCATCATTTTGGAGAGTTAACAGGGTTCTTTGGCTTCCTGCGATTGAGGAGTTCGGTCGACTTCAGTAGAAATCCAGCATGGAGTATACTAGTCCATTGAGGTAATCTTGGGTACTTTCTTTTGGTTTTTAAGGCTTCCCGTGGTCCATTTAGTGTCATGACTTAAGTGACATATGTGTTGATGTGTATGTAATGTTGAAATTGCCATCTAAGTGTTCATGTTGATGCTTATGTAAGTTTCTGTGCACTGGCCATGTTATACAGTGTAAGTTGTCATGTCCATAGCAATCTCAATTGTGTCTTTGAATGGAAAAGTGACTGAGGGTATATTAGAGGTGTGTCTTGGGCCTTGTACCAGCCACATATTTGGTGGGTTTTAAGTGTCTTTGCATTGGTTTAATGCCATAATTTGTGTTGACCATGCTTATGTAAATGAACTTATGTAAGGTTTTGATGTAAAGTGTTTTAAATTATGCACCATTGCATACCAATTCGGAGTACCACATTTGTAAGGTTTTTATGTAAAGTGTTTTAAATTATGCACCATTGCATACCAATTCGGAGTACCACATTTCCCCATGAAGGCTAAATAACTATCTTGTGTGTTTGAATAGCAGACAGAAATCTTTCCATATTTAGTCTTTCCTTTCCCTGTTTTTATCTTTCATGTTATGTTGTCGTAATGCGTTGTTTTTAATTAATGGAAAGACTTCCTCTGACACACTTCAAAAATCTGTTTGATTTTGGATAATCCTGTATTTTAGGCGAAAGTCGACAGGAATATCTCGGATATTTGACAATTGTGATTATTTAAGATTTTAAGGAAGAGCAAAATCTTTGACTGCTCTGAAATACATGTAGGTGCACCTATGAATGGCTTGAGGGGAAAGAAAAGTTTAGTTATACTTCTTATCTTACTAAACTAGTGAAAGATTCAAACAAGTCCAATTCTTACTTTAATTTTTTTATATTAGGTTTTCGGATATTTGACAATTTTGATTATTTAAGATTTTAAGCAAGAGCAAAATCTTTGACCACTCTGAAATACATCTAGGTGCACCTATGAATGGCTTGAGGGGAAAGAAAAAGGTTAGTTATACTTCTTACCTTACTAAGCTAGTGAAAATACAAACAAGTCCAATTCTTAGTGTAATTTTTGTTTATTAGGCTCTTATTTGTATACCTCCAATCATCACTCATGGCACGAGTTGGAACAACTCAAGGTATGTGTTTTATGATACACAAAGATCTTCAAAGAGTCGTAATAAGTCTAGAATAAAATGTTGTGAGTCACAGTAATAATATGTGTATATATTTTTCACTTGTCTTTTATTGTCATTGTATATTTGTATAGGGATAATATGGTCTACACTAAATATGTATTTGTCTATAAACCCTTTTAGGGTTTCATTCTTGTATAATGAGAATTCATAGAGATTGTTTCTCTCTCTAAACGGCTCCTGAACTCCTCATGTTCTCTAAATCTAATATGGTATCAAAGCTTAAAGGATTTGATCATCTCTTCTTTATTGTTGCTCACAAATCGTTCTTTTGTGAACGTCAGTAATTAGATTTTTTTTTTTTTCTCTGTAGTGCCACTCATTGATTATCGATCTTTGAAGGTCAGTTTGTCCCGTGTTTATTTTTATTTTTGATCTGCTAAGGATTTCCTACTACGATTGAATCTCTCTTTCTCTAAACGTGGGAAGTCCAAACGCCTTTTTTTGTTGTTGTTTCCTATTTACCTGGTTTACTGCCCTGTTGCGTGGTTTCTTCCACTCTCTGTATTTTTTTTTGTTGTACTTTTGTCTGACCTTTGTCACCCTCGTTTTGTCTTCTTTCTCTTTAATTAGTGTCTTATTTCCTCCATTACATATTTCCCTTATTCTCCCTCGTCACCTTCATTTTATCTGGTTGATGTTTCCTTTTAATTAGTCCATTACTTTCTACATTACAAATTTCTCCAAAGAGCAGCAATAAGACGACCTTTGTTAATTTCTACGTATAACTTCGTTCTTATTCTAAATACTGATTGTTGATTACCACATTAACCTCATTCTAAGCATATCCCGTTTCTTATTCTCTTTGAGTAAATGATTGCTGAAAAAAACAAAACAAAACTTTGTTGGTATATCTTGGCCAACATGTATCCCATCGAGTTTGTGTTGTTGTGTTCGTGTTCTAGTAGCTTTGCTTTTGAGCTCTAGTACTTTTTGTGAGCTACACTTCTTTTCATCATGGAATCCAAGAATAACACAGAGAGTGCTACTATTTTTGTTCGTCTTGATGGGAAGAACTACGACTTGTAGTTTTTCCAAATGCGACGTTTTCTCATGGGAAAGAAGTTATGGGGCTATATTGATGGTTATGTTCCCGAGCCTAAGGATGAGAATGTGCGTAGTGATTGGCATACCGCAGATAGCTATATTGTGACATAGATTATGAACTTAGTTGAGCCCAAAATTGAGCGCAACCCCACATATCAACCTAGTGTCAAAGCAATGTGGCTTTATTTACAAAAGAGTTATTCTAAAGTAAACATTGTATGTCTGTATACCCTTGAACAAGAGCATGAAGACACAACAAGGGGATTCATTAATTCAAGATTATTTTAATATTCTCTCAAGCATGTAGAATGAGATGGACTTAATGGAAACTGAGTCACCCACTGGAGCTGTTATTAAAGAATGAAATCAGTCTCGTTTATTTCACTTCCTTATGGGGTTACGATTAGAGTTTGAAATCATGAGAGCCTCAATCTTTCATCGTACTCCCACTCCATAACTGGATGATTTCTTATCAGATCTTCTTGCTGAAGAAACTTATTTAGGCTCTCTTGGAGTTTGCAAATCCACCTCACATGAATCACTGATGTGGCCTTTGTCATTTCTAATTTTCCTAACAAGGATGTTAACTATTTCCAAGTGCGATGTCCTATATGCAAACAAAAAGGCCACATGGCTGATGGGTGCAAGA